AAGCTTCCAAGCATTCATCTTGTTACTCCTTGTTTCTGAAAAGTCAGTGAGGTGTTAACCTCTGACTTACCCCTGAGTTCCCAGACTCAACATTTGTTGCAACTTGTCTGAACCACTTCACTACATCACACACCTGATTGCTGCGTTGTGGAATAGTCTAAGCTACAACCCTTTGGCTCTGTTTTCTAAGACAGTGTGTTGTCTTAGTAAATTCATCCCTTCCTTGGGTGGCTAGATTCTCACATCTGGTGCACCCACCATTACAGAATTGTCTGTGGTCTTCCGCTTCATGGCTTTGATTTGAGGTGTTGGAGAAGGTTGTGAATTTCAGTATTCCCTGCCCTTTTAACAGTTTGGTGCCATATATATGCAATAGAGTCAGCTGAGATTCCAAGCTTCTTTTCAATCTCTCCATATGATGCGTTCATGTATACATGCAAGGTAATAATTGCAGCACGTAGTGGTATTGAGATTTCAGCCATTGTTGAGCATTACTTCATTGCTTCATTCACTCTCATATTCTACGCGTGTACATTTTCTACGCGTGTACTCGGGTACAAGTACATGGTGCTTGGTAGATTCCTACAATCTAATTGGCTGTTGTGCACAGACCCTGTGGAAACCTTTGGGCCGCACGAGTAACGTAATTCACCCTTGAGTGGGCCACACCCCCGAGTGGGCCACCCGCTCTTTTTTTCGCGCATCTACGCGTACATCTATCTTCTACCAACCACTATGCCACCAATTCGCAAGAAATCGAAACAGGATTTAGCCCATCAGGAAGGGCGCATCTTACTTGCAATACAAGCTATTCAAAGAGAAGAAATTAGCTCTATACGTGATGCAGCGATGCGTTTTCAAGTACCACGTACCACGCTTGCGTGACGCCTCAATGGTATCACAAATCGTGCAGATACGCGCCCTAGCAGCCATAAGATGACCCAAGAAGATGAAGAAGCGCTTAAAAAATGGGTGCTATCTATGGATGACCGAGGGGCAGCTCCGCGCCCACATATGGTGGGAGAAATGGCCAATCTGCTACTTGCTGCGCGCGGAATTGCACCACTGGGGGCAAATTGGGTTAGCAAGTACATCAAGCGCACCCCAAGCCTCAAATCACGATTCTCACGACGGTACGACTACAAGCGGGCCCAGCAAGAAGATCCACGAGTGCTATGTGAGTGGTTTAAGAGGGTTGAGAGTGCTATCACTATGTATGGTATTCTACCTGAGGATATCTACAATTTCGATGAAACTGGGTTCGCGATGGGGCTATGCGCGACAGCGAAGGTTGTTACTAGGGCTGAATACTATGGTCGTAGATCAGTTTTGCAGCCAGGTAATCGCGAGTGGGTAACTGTGATTGAAACAATAGGCGCTGAAGGATACGCCCTTCCACCTATGATCATCTTCAAAGGCAAACTATATAAGGAAAGCTGGTTCCAATCAGATATACCACAAGACTGGTGGTTTGAACTTAGTGCTAATGGCTGGACTACGGATGAAATTGGTCTAAGATGGCTAGAAAAACTATTCATCCCATATGCGCGTGCGCGTGGAAGATATCGACTTTTGGTCCTAGATGGACATGGCAGCCATCTTACGCCACGCTTTGATCAGCTATGCACTGAAAACAACATCATTCCTATATGTATGCCTGCGCATTCATCGCATCTTCTTCAGCCCCTAGATGTAGGGTGCTTTGCAGGATTGAAACGTGCATATGGAAGGCTAGTGGATCAGAAGATGCGAATGGGGATCAACCATATTGACAAGCTAGAATTCCTAGCTGCATATCCAACTGCTCGCACTGATGCATTTCAAACGAATACTATCCAGAATAGCTTTAAAGCAGCTGGATTACTACCATTAAATGCAGAAGCTGTGCTCTCAAAGCTTAATATATCACTGCGAACGCCAACCCCAGTGCCTAGTCGACCATCTAGCAGATCTAGTGTATATCAACCACACTGTAATGGTGGGTGCATCAGATATGAGAATCTAGCCACCCAAGGAAGGGATGATTTTACTAAGACAACACACTGTCTTAGGAAAAAGAGTCAAAGGGTCGTAGCTTAGACTATTCCACAACGCAGCAATCAGGTGTATGATGTAGTGTAGTGGTTTAGACAAGTTGTAACAAATGTTGAGTCTGAGAACTCAGGGATAAGATAAGTCAGAGGTTAGCACCTCACTGACTTTTCAGAAACAAGGAGTAACAAGATCAATGCTTGGAAGCTTGGAAAAGATGTGGAAGAATGTGATAGTCGATTTACTGTATTGTCTGCTTGCCCTTTCTTAAGGAAAGGGCAATCCTATTTATGCTAAAGGAGTGTAGTTCTCTCATTTTCCAAGACTTTCGATGACTAACCAGGCTTGGTAACTGTAGTCGATGTAAGAGAATCCCATAGAACCATCTCCTAGGTTCCTAGCCTATAGGAAGTGAAAAGGAGGTCCAAGGTCAGAGTACCTATAGATAAATTATGTCATAACTTAACCAATCTTGTGGGTAACTAAGGAGCGATGACGTGTAATGAATCATAGAGGGTTGTAGAAGCTTCTAGAGCTATCGTTCATGTTCCTAGGCCTCTAGTTGGTAGATATATGCCATGTGGTAGTATTGGCCCACCCCCTTAAGGAGGAGATTTTCTTAATAACTTGTTCAATGAGTGTTCAAATGATATGCCGTGATGTATGTAGCATAAACAGATGTAGTAGAAGAGTTTGCAGCAATCGTTGAGTAGTATTGCTTCTGTTGTTGGTGTGATAAGCCAAGATATGTATGGTGACTTGTAGGTTTGAGGAGGAGATTTCTAAGTTTGCTCTTGAGTTTGATAGCAAACTGAGTGCAACGAATGTCAGTATGACACACACACACCAGCTACGATTGCACAGCTCGCAAAGCACCAAAGATCAGCTAAATCCCTGCTGAAATATCGGTCAGAAAGGCCACCTACCCCTACAAAGCAGGTAATTGAGCAGATGTATAAAGCATGCAATGGAGCGATGAGAGCTATTCTTCTTTTAGAGAGGGAAAACAAGGATCTATGTGAGGCGAATCACAAACAGAAGAAGAAGAAGAGCCTATCTAATAAGCAGTTTGCTCATGAAGGGGGATTATCAGTTCAAGAAGCGCAGGGCTTGCGCTTTGGTCTAGGAGGTGCATCTACATCTGAAGGTGCAGCAGCAGCACTACCACTATTACCAGCACCAGCATTAGGTACACGACGTATATATACATGCAGTATATGTAGGATGCCTGGACATAGAGCTAATTACTGCCCCGAGAGAGATAATTAGGATTGAATGGCGTTTTGTTGAATTAAATGGCTCTAAGTGTAGAAATTGGATTGGGGGTGGCCCACTTGGGGGTGTGGCCCACTCAGGGGTGAATTACGTTACTATGAATAACTTTATCAATTTGGCCCGTTTTATGATTCTGGGGTTGCTGGAGCGGTTTGGTGGTTAGGGTTTACTTACGTAACCGCTTACAAATCCAGGGGTGTCCGCGATGTCGTTCGCTTAGTATTCGGACACCGGCGTCCGTATACTGGAACTCGTCTGTGGATGTCAAACTATTTGCCCGGTTTGGCGCAAATCCATGCTTTCGTAGCGGGATTTGTGCAAAATAAGTAAGGTTTGTTCCACCCCTTCCCCTCACGTGATGGAAAGGGGTTGTGTATGTTCGCCTGTCGACTTCCGTGTCATAAATCCCATTAGCATAAACATAGTCCTCTGCGAATGTTAGACCAGCCGATGAGGTGGATCTAGTATTCACCCAATTTTGCGCAAATGTCTGTTTGAACAGACACATTTGCGCAAAATTACAGGGGGGGTTTAACTTTCCCCTTTCATCACGTGGTGGAAAGGGGTTATGTGAGTGTGTCCCATGCTGTTGACTTCTGTGTATTCTAAGCCATGTATTAACAAAAGCATTTAGCAGGTAATCATTAGTTCGGACAGAGCGGTCAAACTTTATCCTGTTTCTGCACATTTTCCTCTTTCTACAGTCCATTCTGTGCATAACGACGCCTATATAAGTTGTATGTAACACGTGATATAAAGGGGGTAATTGTTCCCCCTCTGTCGCCTTCTGTGACTACTAATCCTCTTAACTAACAAACAGATTCCAACTGCCTTTAGTAAACAAAGGAGTATAATCGCTAGATCGACCAACCGGTCAAACTATTCCTCCGCTTTTGCGCGGATTTTCTGTATTGCAGCTCCTTTTGCGCATATTCAGGATGTCGACCAAGCTAGGTTTCAGCGCATATTCTAGGTTTTATAGTCCAATGCATTACGAGTATATTACGAATATATTCCGCAAATAATAGTTTTGGGCGCAAATCCCCGTTTCTACAGCCCGATTTGCGCATACTTATCTTGATGGCCAATTCCTATTTTGCATCTAGTTTACCAGCACGACGATGTCGCCCGAACGCTGTCTGAACTGTGTCCTGGCGCAGATTCTAGATTTTATAGCCTCTTGTGTGCGGAATCAGGATGTCGACCGAACTCTGTCTAAACTGTTTTAGAGCAGATTTCTAGTTTCATAGCCCCATCTGCGCAGGTTTGCGATATTGTCTGGACCATGTATGAAGTGCTTTTGGCGTAGATTCCTAGTTATAAAACCCCCCTTGCGCAAATATACGATGTGGACCGCATTCCATCTGTTCTAGTAGAAGCCTCCTAGTTTTTATAGACGTTTACTTCTTAGCCTACATTAAGCCTACATTAATGAATGCGAATGCATTCTGCATACGTTAGTTTTAGCCCGAACCGTTGAACTATTTTGGCGCAGCTTTCTGATTTTATAGCTCTTCTACGCACGTTGTCCGAACCCTGCCTAAACTGTTTTCGCGCAGATTGTACACTTTGTAGCTTCCTTTGCGCACGATGTCTGAACCTAGTATGAACAGCTTTTGGCGCAGATTCTAGATTCTATAGACCATTCTACGCAAATCCAAATCGACGATGTCGTCCGTACTCTATCTATCCTTCTTTAATTCTAGTACTAGATTATCGTTGTTATATCATATATATAGGGCCATCTTGCGTATATTGAGCCGGATTTGACGAAATGCATTCCTAATGAATTCCGCATACATTCATTTTTGCGCAGCTTCCTGTTTTTATAATCCATCGTGCGCAAATTCACAATATCATCCGTCTTGCCTCCGTATTTGCCCCCGTCTTGCATCCGTCTTGCCTCCGCCTTGCCCCCACCTTGCACCCGTATTGCCTCCGTCTTGTATCCGTCTTGCCTCTGTCTTGCCTCCGTCTTAAGTTCTAGCGCAAGATGCTAAGTTTCATAACCTGCCCTGCGCACATACACGATGCCATCCATGCAAAGCCCAGCCCACAGAGGTTGAGCAAGCAAGGGGAAAAGGGGTTGTAGAAAGGAGATTAGTTGCTATACCCAGCCTTCAAGGCTGTGCGAGTAAGTAAGGACGGGGCGGTAGGGTTGACCAAATGTAGAGCAGACGATGTAATATATATTCCTACATTATAACCCCATCTCCACCCCATAAAAAGATGGAGTAAAGTGACTTCGATATCCTCTCAGCCCATAAAACCCACCAGGCCACCACACCACACCCCCAATCAAACGCCAAACGCCGCCCATCCCATCATGCGCCCCCACCAAATAGGAACCACCCGCACCCCCTACAAAATAACACCCTTATCAATAACCAACCTCCCCCTCCTCCCATCCTCCACCTCCGTTCCCCACCCCCCCTTCCACACCCTCTCCCTCCCCAACGCCCTCTCAAACGCCTCCCTACACTCCCTCGGCAAAAGCTCCTTCACATCCTCTCGGACCCCCTCCAGGCCCTTAAACCCAAGATCCATATCCCCGCCATCCGGACCGGGTATCCCAAGGTGCGAGTGCGACGCGTTCTCGTACACGGTATCGACGATTAGGAAGTTCCGCGCGAGTTGCGGGGGTACGGGCGGGAAGATGGTGTCGCCGGTGGTGGGGGAGGGGGGAGTGGATGTGGAGGAGACGGTGATGGCTTGCATGCCGGCTGTTGCGGCGTCGATGGGGCCGACGGGCTCCCAGCGTGCGTGCGTGGGTTGCATGATTTGGGGGTATTGCATGGTGTTTGTGTGGGGGTCGTAGACGCCGGATAGGTTGCGGCGGCGGGTGGCGGCGAGGGCGGAGTTGAAGCGGCTGCGGGTAGATTAGTTTTTGTCGGGTTTCGGGGAAAATGTGACTGAGAAAAGGGGGGTAGTGGGCTTACCTAGCCTCAAGGGCGTGCTCGAGCATCCAATTCGTATCATTGACCATGACGCGGCGCTTCTTGGACTCTGCGGCCTTTCCAGCCTGTAGAGGCACCGTCGGGGCGCCGGAGTGGTACACAGAACTTGCGCCGTGCCAGGCGACGTACTGGTTCTTGTTGTACGCCTCGCCGACTTTAAAGGCATCATTCGGGTCCGCGAGCTCGCCCGCCACAACGCCCTCAGCCCTCGTCTTAGCAACCTCATAGTCATCATAGACGCGCTTTCCACCAACGATGATCTGGGCGCCAAACTCGCGGAAGACAGAGCGCGCAGTAACAATACCGATAGCACGGCCTTTGTACGAGTGCGGGATCAGTTCGCGGTCAATCAGATCGCGCTTCTCGTCGTCGTCGATGATAATCTTATATAACCGCTTATGCTTCGTGAAGAAGAGATAACTGTCGCGGAAACCCACGCAGCGCGCTGGTTCGGTCGATAACATGTATAAGCGCTGTCCGCGCCCGAGCACTGTGAACGTGCGGCACCTGTACTCGCGATCCCCCTGCAGATGGCCCATCTTATCCACCTTCGTCTCGCCCTCTGCGTCCTCTGGGAGAGACACCTCGTCGTTCTCAACATTCATCATGTTCCCCTCCTTATCAATCGGCTGCTGCGTGACATGCGACGGCCCCCCGCGCCTCGCCCAGCGCCCGCCTCCACGAGCGAAGCCGCCGCGTCCCCTTCCGCGCTTGGCAGGCGTGCTGGCAGGTGCGTCGCCGTCATCAGGGGTGTCCCAGCCTGGGGGCTTTATCTTGGGGGGGCGCCCGAGGCGGCGCTTGCGCGGGACAGGCTCGGGTTCGGGTTGCGGCGTGGCGGCTTCGGAGGGGGGTTCTGACTCCTGGGGGGCTGGGGTGCCGTCGTCCTCTGCGTCGGGGTCGTCGTCGTCATGGTCGCGGGGGGATACGGGGTCTGAGGTTGGGACGTCCGCCATGGTCTCGTCTTCGGGGTCTTCAATGGTCTGGGGGGTGTTCTCTGGAGCTTGAGGTTAGTATAGCTGTCGCGGGGGGACGGGGTGAATAAAAGATGAGCTTGAATTCGGGGGCATTGCAAACGTACTGAGGGCAACGGCAGCTTGCTTAGCTGCCGCTCTGCCTGGCCGTCTACCCATATTTGCGGAAGGCGCAAACGCGAGGGGCAATTGCTGGTAGCTTGGGATGGAACGAGTAGCTTCCGGTCTATACTTGGAATATTTGGCGTGTCACGGTCGCGAAGCTTGGCCTCGACGTTCAAGGTCACGTTTTCTGGCGTGTCGTCAATTTAGCGTCGCAATTGCAGCCTTGTAGCCTCAGGAGTCAAAATATTTTGATACCTCAGGCCTCAGGCATGTGTTGAACCATAAAATCGCTAGTACCTTTTTGGCTCCACACAACCATTTTATATGGGGCAATTCTGAAACGGAAGCGGGCGGGGACGGTTTCGGCACCATTGCGGGATCTCAGAGTAATATCAAATGAGGAGCCTTTCCGCCTCATTTTTTCATGGGTACTGTGGAGGTACCCAAAGTATTTTGCTTTTTTGCTTGCTGGGGGTTTATCGAGAGAGCACGGAGTATACAGTATACAGATGGTACTCCGTATACTCGAGTACATTCACTTCCCGCCGCTGGACCAATTCCGGACCCTGGATCCTCTGGCATCGCGCAAAATTTGCATGTGAATCGTGATATGAAAAATTACTCTACTCTACACCGCATGGTCCGGCAGTGCCCTTGACGTCCGCCATACCGTCAGAACTCAGCCTGCTCACCTCAGCCGGAGGAATGGGAAGAGACGGTGTGTGTGTGTAAGGCGCAGTGCTTGCTTTGCACGCGCTGAGCCGGGAATTGAGGACCGAGGCCCAAATACAATGTCTTGGACGGGCAATATCAAATATATCAGCTCGTCAAGGGAAACTGTTTCGCATCTGTGCCAGATACAAAGAAAATGATGCCGCAGTAAGTCCGTGGCGAGACGGTCAGATCTGTGCTCCCATAAGAATGAAATTTCCAGCACAATGCCAAGCATCCATGGAAGGGGGCTGAGAGGAGGCCCGAGTCAGTATGCATGGATGGATGTCTGGTAATCCTCCTCACTCGATCCCGTCTGCGCCATCTTGACTAGTAGAGTATGGGTACGTACTGACGGACGGAATGTCAGAGATCTTGCTTTTGACAGGATCCGAAAGATGGAGGGACGAAGAGAAGAACGGATAGAAAAATGGCGGACTTGGAAGGGATGGCCGCTGCCCGATGTGTGATGCGCGATACGGTAGATATTAGTCGATAAACCCAGCTTCCGATATCTTCCAGCTGGTGTGCTGAGGCTTGGGGGTCCCTTGAGGTTCCTTGGGATGATCCGAGATGAGCTCCGTACTCGGCTTAAAATAACTGTTAGGGACATCGATCCGCGGCGAAGCACAGGATGGACAGCCCTATCCCTATCCGGTACCCCCTTGGCCAGAGTATGGTAACCATTCACTCATGCCGAAAGTAGTCCCTCATACTTCAGTATACTTCAGTATGAGGGACTACTTTCCCTCATGAGTGAATGGTGTGTTTGTAAGAAAAAGGAGGCGCATGGGAGAATGGCCGAGTCCTTCCTGGCTGTTGTCTTTGCCGCCTGTGTCTCTCTAGATCCTTCTCTGCCTGCTTACGGGCCACGGCGGCATGGTGGTTACACGGCCAGGATACAGCTGTGCTTGGATTACTCGGTACTTGCATGAATCTCAGCTATAACCACTGTAGCGTCTGGACGACTGATCTGCTGTGTCTGTGGATTTTGTTGGGTCTTCTTGTCTGGCGTATCGGCAATCCCGCCCACAGATGACGTAGCCACGTATGGCAAAGATGTTTGGGAATAGCCAGGAGAAGGAAAGGAGAGCTTCCAGAAGGAAAGCATGAAGGGAAACAAAGGTCCGAGTGTTTTCTGTAGCATGGCGGGCGGGCTATTGCTCTGGCACAGGGTTTACAGCAAGTACGGTGCAATAACTTATAGCAACAATAATAATAGTAAGAATGGGGGAAATGGCGGCGGGCAACAAAAAGAAATGCATTCTTTATTGTTTCTCTATTTTTTGCTTGCTTTGTCTCCCGGGTCAGCACGCGCATATGTCCGAGGTGCATATGCCATGCCAGGGAGAGTATTTTGGGTTGTATCAGTCAGTACAGTACACACACAGTATGGAGCGGTTTATTACCATCAGCTCGCTTGTTATTAGCTGACGAGAAATGGAGACTGGAGACTGGAGACTGGAGACTGGAGACTGGAGAATGGAGAATGGAGAAAGAGAAGAGAAAAAACCCTCAATTCTCCTCTAATTCCCCTCCCATCTCCCCCGTTCGTCCCGGCCGAGAATGACGAGGCGTAGTCAATAGTACTCTACCACTCTAGGCGTGGACCGTAGATAGACCGTAGACCGCGGTGGCTCCGTCCGTCGTTGTTCCGTTTGTCAAGGCTTAAGGCTTGTGTGGATTGTGGTTTGTGGTTTGTGGTTGTGGTTTGTGGTTTGTGGTTTGTGGTGGTTTGTGGTGTGTGGTTTGTGTGGTGTGGTTTGTGTGGTGTGGTTTGTTGGTTGCGTGTTGTGGAGCCCAAAATAACACTACGGAGTAAGAGGACTACTTACCTACACGGCTACTACGGCTAAGAGGACTACCTACCTACACGGCTACTACGACTACCTACCTACATGGCTACTACGACTACTCTACGTGGTACTCCGTTCCGTCTACTACCGTCCACTATACCACACTCTCCCACACTCTCCCACACTATCCCACACTATCCCACACTATCCCACACTATCCCACACTATCCCACACTATCCCACACTATTCCTACTTTTAGTTACTCCCGTAACGAAGTCAAAATCACCCCCCCCCCAAATAATCGCGCTCTTTGATGGCTTATTCCCTTATGCGCTCTATCTTTACTCCTTCCTCTCTTCCTCCTCTACAAAACCCCCAAAACAATATCAAACTGCTGCTCGAATATAAATCGGGCTCCCTATATTTTTGATAACCCCCCCAAACCCCCCAACCCCCCAACCCCCCCCCCCTCCCGGCCAGACATAGCCAAAATCGACCCCGCCTACGCGTTGTCTGCCACTACCACGATCCGTTCATCGTCATTTGCATATTGACTGCTGCCCTTCCCCCCATCTACCCAAAAGAACCATTTGCTTCTGATCCAAAAGCTTCACACACGCTCCCTTGTGGTACTGTCGAACCTGCTCACGAAATCTACCTACGAATCTACGAATCTACGAATCTACGAATCTCCCACCTTGACGCCAGTTAACGATTGCCGCCTATACCACAACCACGAACCACAACAATCAAATTCAGCACCGTTTTCATGCACATTGTGACCATCTGGGATCCGAGATACCTGTATACACTCACAAAATGACGGGAACTGAGACAGCTTCGGGCGGTGGCGCCCAAGACATGTTGAGGAAAGCAACACAGGCCTTGATGTCAAGGTACGCCAAATCCTATCCCCCCAGACACGTTTGTGTGGCTTTTGTTTGCTCTGTTGGCACTGCCGGCACCTTTGGGAGAGTCGCGACTTCCCAGATATAAATGCGACCTATGCGGCTCCTAAAATTGTTTTCCCATGCTTCAGTTTCATAATCGCACCTATCCTGCAACGTTACTTCGATACCCCGCCGTTGATGTATCTTTGCTCCAGCACTGTACTTACCTCGGGGAGAACATATCCCCGTTGGATCAAAGCTTATCACAGCTGATGCAACTGCATCTGTTCCAGCACCGCCCTGTTCTGAGAAGAATGAGACACGAAGTTTTGTGATCATTCGGGCTGGTTCCTCGATACTACACTGACTCAAAACCCCGCTCTTTTACTTCGTCGACAACCATGTATCCGTCGCCACGCTCAGAAAACGGCGAATTGGCTCGAATATACCTGGACGACCAAGCTGACAAGACTATGTTCTTTAGTAAATCTGGCGAAGATGACGCGAACGATCACATTGACTCCGACACTCCTCGATCGGGAGTCGCGACACCGAAACCTGATCCGTCCGATAAGCGGTTGCCTGGGATTATGCACAGTTATTTTCAGGTTGGTCTCAATTCTGGTTCTTCTGAAAATCCAATTTCTACTCCTACAGTTGGGACCGAGGCGGAGAATCCGCCGGTGCTCCATGTACGGGAGACGACGACGGAGCTTGATGAGAATCTGTCAGCAACAGGAGGTTATAGTCGCGAGAACTCAAGTGGCGATAGTGAGGGCTCCCCTTGCCTCTTGCCACATGAGAAAACAGAACGCCGAGCTCCGTCGGCAGCAGATGGCGCGTCACATAATCCACATCCTTACCCAACTCCGCCGGTTTCCAAGCCACCTTCCGTTCGAAAGTTGAGATCCAACGATTCGACGGCTGAAGATGGGGAAGCTGCGAGCCCGGAGCTTGCATCTCCTACATCCCAGATTGCGTTGCCACATCACAAGACCATATCTGAATCCATACTTCCCAAATTTGGCGCTTCTTCAATGTTGAAGACGTTATCCAACATTTTGACTCCCTCGAACGTCCTTGCTTCCCATATCTCGACTCCAAAAGAGCCAACTCTTGCGACTGCACCAGATACCCCAGTTCATTCGCGTATTGCTTCTGGTTCAGTTTCTGATTCTTTATCATATGATATGCTCAAGAAGCTAACGATTGGCGATGAAAAGAGCCATCCTGCGACACCAACACGAGCCCTCTCGAACAACACTTCCACTTCAGACAACAGTGACCATGGCCACGAGCTAGTTCACAAAAGACCCTCGGGCTTGTCTGAGTCGAAGTCGAGCAGCTCCGACATAAGCGGTGCACCCGTGAGAGCACCACGAGGGAAGCTCACCGTGAAGATCGCCGAGGCACGAGGCCTGCGCCGAAGCAAGGACCCCTACGTTGTAGCAGTATTCCAACGCAACGAGCTTGTTTCCAAGGGCCCGCGATCCGAGGATGAGGATGACGAAGATGAAGAGGCGACGATCAGCCCACCTCCGGGTGGTATCCCAATCTCGCGCCAACCTAGCGACTCTGGCAGGCCAATGGCAATTCCAATGAAGAGCCGCCAAAGCAGCAACAACAGCGACCCGGAACCCCGAGACTTCAAGATTAAAAGTCGTCGATCGATGACAAACCCGAAGTGGGAAACGGAAGCTGTCTTGTAAGTTTACCACGAGACCCATTCCTCTCAACATTAGGCTAACTTTGCAAAGTGACGTCGTTGGCGATGAATCCAGGGTCAGCGTCAGCGTCTACGACCGCGGCTCCTTGTCCGAAGATTTCTTGGGTCACGTAGACTTTAACCCCGAGCTATCAGAGTATGACACGGCTCCGGTCAAGGGCTGGTATCCTCTACGGGACAGGAAGGGCGAGGAGGACTCTTCGATCGGCGAAGTATACGTCGAAATTTCGTTCGAACGGACGGATAAGAGACATTACGGACCGGAAGACTTCCAAATCCTCAAGCTCATCGGAAAGGGCACATTCGGCCAAGTCTACCAAGTCCGAAAGAAGGACACCAAGAGAATTTACGCGATGAAGGTCCTCCAAAAGAAGGTCATTGTGCAGAAGAAGGAAGTTGCACACACTGTTGGTGAGAGGAATATCTTGGTCCGCACAGCTATGACCGAGTCTCCCTTCATTGTCGGCCTCAAATTCTCGTTCCAAACACCTACCGACTTATATCTCGTCACTGACTACATGTCTGGTGGCGAACTCTTCTGGCATCTACAGAAGGAAGGCCGCTTTGATGAAAACCGTGCCAAGTTTTACATCGCAGAGCTCATTCTTGCACTTCAGCATCTGCATCTGCACGACATTGTCTATCGCGATCTCAAGCCAGAGAATATTCTGCTTGATGCCAATGGACACATTGCACTCTGCGATTTTGGCCTATCAAAGGCAAACTTGACGAAGAATGATACAACGAACACATTTTGCGGGACCACAGAGTACCTCGCACCTGAGGTACTACTCGACGAGGCCGGCTACACCAAGATGGTCGATTTCTGGTCACTTGGTGTACTGGTATTCGAGATGTGCTGTGGCTGGAGTCCCTTTTACGCGGAAGATACCCAACAAATGTACAAGAATATTGCCTTTGGGAAAGTACGCTTTCCCAGGGATACGTTATCGACAGAGGGCCGCAACTTTGTTAAGGGCCTTCTGAATCGCAACCCCAAGCACCGTCTCGGCGCTATTGACGACGCGGAGGAGCTCAAGAGGCACCCATTCTTTGCTGACATCGACTGGGAGGCTCTCACGAAGAAGCTGATCACTCCTCCCTTCAAGCCCAAGCTCAAGTCGGAGACGGACACCTCGAACTTCGATCCCGAATTCACCAATGCCCTTAACGGCGCCTCGTCGCTCAACGCACGTGCCGCAGCCCTGGCTGCCGGTATCGTGACGTCAACCCCGCTGTCGCCCGGTATGCAAGCCAACTTCAAGGGTTTCACCTTCGTGGACGAGAACTCCATTGATGATCACTTCCAAGACCGCGCCAAGTACGACATTGACGAGATAGACGAGGCCTGGGACGACCGCGAGGGCAAGACGAACCGCATGAGCGGCATCGTCAAGTCGCACCCCAACGAGGATAGCAGCATGATCAACGGCGAGCATTTCGACATGTAAAAGCTCTGGTAGTTGACTCGTCGTCGGAGGGAGGATCTATATATCTTTTATTCTTGGTTTCCATCATCAACATCATTATCGTCATCGGGGACTGTTTTTTGGGGTATCGACACGCATAGGTTGCGGAGTTTATTATAGTCTTATCTTTTTTGTCCTCGCTTGCTTCGTCGCTTGCTTGCTTTGCATTTTTTGCATTTTGGATAAAGGCGTATATTTGTGTTGGCATGAAGACGGTGCAACCCGGCCATTCGTTGTTTGGAGACGGGATTGGGGAGACGGGGGGTGTGCTTGGTGTACTAAGCCTCGGAGGATGATACCACAAGCTAGTTTTTTTGAAAGTTTTTGGGGAGGATGGTGAGAGTGAAGAGTCGTTTTCATGATGAATAGTTGTGGCTTGGCTGGCTATGGAGACGTCTGTCCAGTGAGGAACTCGTTGGATGGGGGGTGGGGGGCGTGATGTTTTGTATATCTCTTCACACCGTAGTTAGTCAGGAATGCTTGGGTCATGGGTATTGTGCTGTGCTGTGCTGTGCTGTGCTGTGCTGTGCTGTGCTGTGCTGTGCTCTGCTGTGCTCTGCTGTGCTGTGCTTGTCTTTTGTGCGTGATTGTTGTAGTTTGATCGGAGGGGGTGGTCTTGAAGTAATGGATGTGTTTTTTGGTGTGAATAGGGTTCCGTAGATTGTTTAGTAATTTATGCCAGTGATTGCATTCGAGGCTGAAATACTCTCTTATGTCTTTTCTGCTGTGAAGTGATTCGTACTGGTGTGGAGGTCCATGTATGTGTTTCTGCGTTGTTCGTAACATACATATATAACTATGTAAGCTAGGTATTATTTCTTATTTATTGCAGGGGGAATAAAAATAAATATTGATACTCCGCACAACCAGCAGCCTTCGTATGGTGCAATCAATATATATCCACGACTGCGGCCTAAAAAAAGAATTAACCCCGTGAATTGTAAATGGAAATGGAATGCAAACCGTCCAGTACTCATAGAGTATTCCGAGCACGCCTCCAAACTCCGTACGCACGCTACGCTCCGGCGAGGCATATTAAATTACTTACCGCACGTAGGTTTACTTCCTTCCACCCGTGGTAATCGATACAATGGATAGCGTTATCATACTCTATACAAAATAGGAATACCTGTCTTTAATGATGTGATTTTCGGTGCCATTGGAGTTTTATTTTATATATATAGGCCCTGTACGAGAATATATGAACACCGGACCTGCAAGGATGTAGTCCCTGGCCGCAGCCTATTATTATTTGATATCCTACTGCACTGTATTTATCTTGATCTTTGATTAGAACCTTTTAGTTATAATTATATTTTTGTTAAATTTGATGGGTGTTGTTTCTTGTTAGGATAAATATTCAGGGGAGAGCTGTGAAATCAACCTATATACCCCACAACGTGCATATAATTCAAGTTGTAGAGGACTGAAGAATGCAATACACCTTTTGGATCAGCTTAACAGATTGGCGAACCATTCTTGAAATTTCACAGCAATTCACAACACAGTAGCATAGACACACCCCTCAAATCGCCAAAAAACGCGTAAAGACACAAAGTAACGATCAAGTACAAGATCTATGCCGGGATTGATATACATATGGCCTCTCATACCACTCTATAGTGTTCTAAACCATCACAACCGTCTTTAGGACCAGCGCGAGCAATCTAGTGCTTGGCAGACTCCTCCTCGGGCTCCTCGAACCAATCCTGCTCCACGGCAGCCTCGGAGCCAGCCTCAGCCTGGCCCTCGATCTCAACAGTCGAGTCCTCGTAGGCCTTCAGCTCCTTGGCGATGTCGGTCTCCTCGGGGGAGGTAGGGGTCTGGGGGGGGTTGAACTTGAGGACGTGTCCCTCGGCGTCGGAGGCCTTGACTGGGGCGGGCTTGTAGGCCTTGAGCTCCTTCAGGTACATGTCCTGCACGAGATCGGCTGCAGGATAAATAGTTAGAATCTTGTATAGACACGCAATTGGAGATGTAGTATCGAGAGGGGAGTCGTACCTTGACGGACAGCAGTCGGGGTGATGATGGTGCGCTTGGAGATGAATTGGCTCCGCGCGAGGCGGGCGAACGAGGAGCGCTGGCGGAAAATCAGTAATTGTTCATCAGCAAGAGATCAATGGCAGCGTACCGAAGCGCGGATAGACTGTGCGAGCATGGTGACGAGGTGAATGGGGCTCAATTGACCGTTGACAGACAGCTTCCAGCACCTTCAAATCTGTTCCGGGAGTCGTCGAACGCTAGCCGAGACGAATATCGCCCGGATCACGTGGTCGCGAGAAGTAGCCGCAAGAATCCCCTTAGCGCCGCTTCGTGGCGTGCGTGTGCGTAATTGTGACTGCGACACGCCAGCCCTGCCTCATTCTTTTCTGCGTCATTCCACGTCCAACGTCTGCTTCAGCACCCGCCGCGAAGAACGACTTACCCATCGCCGAAGGACCTACAAAGTTGCTGGCCATCTTGATAGCGACAGGTAAACCGTCTTCAGCCGATCTTTCTACAGTCTGCGGGGTTGGATATTCGACTTCGGAGACGCCTTTACTGGTTCAGATCGATCGCAGGTGTGCAGAGTGGCCCGGTGTCAACTATCCTGACTTAGGAGCCAGTCTCTCAACTTCAAGATACTCATTCTTTAAATCTCATACTTCACCTTGTGCGTCGACTGCTTTTGACGATCTGCTGAGATCGAAGCGAATATCGCCACAGCCTTGGCTTCACTTCAACCTCAGTGAACATCAAGTAGAATTCAAGTGACAACCCTGCGGAGATCGCTTTCAACAGCGCGAACCTTCAAAGCGTAACTACTTCAGTTGGCACTGGAGTTCTCTCCAGACCAAACCGGCAAACTGCATTCTCCGCTTTTCGTCAAGTTCCATACGAAACGACTCTGCACAACACCCACAAAAGACCTGAAAACACGCTTTCTGGTTACCAAGAAGAAGAAGTCTCTGCCCAAAGAGAAGGTTTCCCCGCGGCAGATCTTATGTGATACTAGAAATATATACCACAAGAAGAACGCATACGAACCCAAGATGGCTACCACTACCGCCACCGCTCCTGGCGAGACAGACCCGTATATCGAGAACCTGAATATGCAGATGATATGCAAGGAGTGCAAAGAATTCCCGCCCAACCTGGTTGAAGAGTTTTCCTCTGGCGACATGGTCTGCGGCTCCTGCGGCCTCGTCCTTGGAGATCGGATTGTCGATACACGTTCCGAGTGGCGCACTTTCGCAAACGATGACCAAGGCAACGACGACCCATCCCGTGTCGGAGACGGCGCGAACCCGCTCCTCAACGGATCTCAGCTCTCCACGACCATTGCATTTGGCGATGGTTCTGGCCGTAGCCGCGATCTTCAGCGCGCACAGAACAAGTCTGCTCATGACAAGGGCACCAAGAACCTTTTGGCAGCATACAAGGAGATCGGCGCCCACTGCGACGCCATTGGAATCCCCAAGACCGGCGCTGATGTAGCCAAGCACCTGTTCAAGATGGTGGATGATGCGAAAGCATTCAAAGGGAAGTCCCAAGAAGCCCTCATCGCCGGGTGCATCTTCATCGCCTGCCGCCAGAGTGGAGTCCCCCGTACCTTCCGCGAGATCTACGCCTTGACGAAGGTTTCGAAGAAGGATATCGGCCGCACCTTCAAGGCGCTGGAGAAGTTCTTCGCCAGCGACGAGAATAAGGCGGCGCTGACAAATGGTAAGTTGTTATTGCTATACACACTAATCTATTCTCCCATATTAACCGCGTGGTGTGTGAAGGCTCCCTCGCGCAAACGGACGCGTACCAAGCGACGACCTCTACGAACGCCGTAGACCTCGTCGTGCGCTTCTGCTCGCAGCTCGGCCTGCACGGCCAGCAGTTCGTCAAGGTCTCCCAGGGCCTCGCGGACAAGGTATCCACCATGGGCGACCTCGCCGGCCGCTCCCCGCTCTCCGTCGCCGCCGCGTGCATCTACATGGCCAGCCACCTGCTCGGCAAGCCCAAGAGCGCGCGCGAGATCGGCAACATGGCTGGTGTCAGCGACGGTACCATCCGCACCGCGTACAAGTTCCTGTACCAGGATCGCGAGCGCCTCCTCGAGCCTGAGTGGCTCGCTGGCGGGAAGGGCAAGATGGAGAATCTGCCTGCCAGCTGAGCCTACTGCTGCTTCTTGCGACGGCGCCACGAAAGGAGTGACATCCCTAATTCGTGGCTGCGTTGGCGTTTTTGCGAATACCCCGCCTTTCGAGTCCTGCTCTGTGCTGGACGAGCGGCTTTTGAGGGGGTTGCTTTTTTTTTGTGCGACGAAAACGGTTTCTTGAACGCGCTACATCGGTGATTCGATATTCGCGCGCGCGCTGATAACTGCTACTCTGCACACTTGCACTGGTCTCGTCTTCCATCTCGGAATTTTTATTTGCGGAAGGCTCCCCTGGCCCAGCAGGGAGAGAGAGGGCACGAACGGAATAAGATGTAATTACACAACAACACACGACCTCTCACACTCTCACCATAATAAGAAGAGGCCAAAAGCCCTCTGGAGAAAATTGTTGATAGAGGCATCCAAAGATAGGCATGCGGGCATTGCATTTTACATACCAAAAACAGACTCAGCTGGGCAACTACTATTTTTGTAGATGGATGGGGAAGGGGGAGGGAGATACAGACGCAGATACATAAAAAATAGAAAATGGGGATGTAAAAAACAGACTCATCTTGCTGTATACATGACATGCGTGACCTCGTGAACGGTGATGAAGAGTGAGCAGTATAACTGTCTACGTCCATTGAATTTTAATTCTAGCACCCCACCTTTTCCGAACTCTTTCCTTACTAGAACCTGTCTCTGCCATTCAAACTCCCGATTCAAACCAGAAAAAAAAACTTCCAACAAAAACCAAAAGCGAGTGACTCAGGTATAAAACCATGAACAACACAAAAGCAAACAGACAAAAACCAAGCGAATGTGGGTAATAAAAAACGCCGCAGAACCAGAACCAAAACTTAAAATCTAACCAAGAAACCTCTCTACCCAAACCCCCCATCCGTCAGAGTGGAATGAATGACCGACACGGGCCCCACAATCCCCTAAGCCGCCGGTTTTCATCCGCTCTCTCGATCAGCTCCAACGCGGAGTATATACAATACCCCCTACTTCCTCCCCCACAACCAAAACCTCCACTTCTTCTTCCCCTCTTCTCCCTCCCCATTAGGTTCCCCCGCACCACCCTCCTGCACACTCTCCACCGTCGCCACCGCCGGCGCATTACTCGACCCCAACGACCCCGACCTCGGCATCACCCCCCCATCAGCCTCCACCACACCGCCCTTCTTCTCATAACTCTCCACCGAAGAGCTCGCGCCCTCCTCCCCTTCCCTCTCATCGCCAAAGCGGGGCACCACCGTGCTCGCAAACTTCCTCGCCGATATGCCCTCCGCAAACAACCAATCCATCTCCGCGTACGTGCGCCCTCTCGGCTCCGGGATACGGAAGAACGCGTAGACGAAGCAGAGGGCGCAGAAGACGACCCAGAACCACGCCGTCTTCATCCCCCAGTTGAGCGCGGTGGGATTGAGTTGGTAGGGCGTGACGACGCAGTTGAAGACGCCGAAGGCGTTGTAGCCCATGCGTGCGATGTTGATGGTCTTTGACTTCGTGCGGGTGGAGGAGAGTTCCGAGACGAGGGCGTAGGTGACGGGGCCGATGGTGCAGCCGTAGACGAGGGTGTAGAGGAGGAGGAGGGAGCCGGAGAGCCAGCCGGTCAGTTCGGCGCTGAGGCCGATGGTGGCGATGATGCCGCAGATGGTGAGGACGAGGCAGAGGAGGAACAGGCCCCAGAGCTCGATGGTGCGGCGGCCGAAGCGGCCGAGGAGGCACCAGGATACTGCTGTGCCGACAAGGCCGAGGGCGTACTGAGAATGTTAGTGTGTGTGGGTGTGTTGGGGGACTTGGGGGCTTACCTGGACAATAACGAAGTTCCAAGTTTGCTCGGGCGCCATGCCCGCGCGCTGGAAGAAGTACGGAGACCACTGCATGAGTGCTGAGCCACTCGCATTCTGGATGACCCACGTGAACGTCGAGATCTCTGTACGTCTGCGGTTGACGCCACGGAAGCAATCGAGATACCCCGTGCCAGTCCCGTTAGTCTCACGGAGCTCATCGGCATTGGTGAGTTGGATCATGGCGAGCTGGCCATCGATGCTGTAACCCTCTGGTGCGCGGCTCTGGGACACAAGTTTAGTGAGGACCTTTCGCGCCTCATCGGTGCGGCCCTTGCGGACCAGCCACCAGGGTGACTCCTGCGCCCACAGCGAGAAGATGAAGATAGGGAGAGGAAAGACCCATTGCAAGCCAAGGGGGATCTGAATCGACAACATCGTCATATTATTGACCAACGCCCTCTGCGTAACCGCACCAAGACACTGCCCAATAATCCAACACACATTACTCCAAGCCGTAACATACGCCCTAATCGGCGTCGGACAAACATCGGACGCATAGTTCGTCGTGAGCGTCTGGAACACCCCCCAAGGCAACCCACACAACAACAGCCCAACCAAGAACGCCGTCAGACTCCCCGCAAAAAACACTATAAAGATAAACGCCGACAGCGCCACCAGCGACGCCATAAACGTTCTCTTATACCCAAACCGCTCCACGAGCCAGCCACTCAGCAGTACTCCCGCCATCTGACCAACCGTCGGGCCGATCACAATCGCTGACTGCCATGACGCGGGGATCTCGCACACCGCGCCATCTAGCGGGACATCTGGACACTCGAAGCGCAGGCGGAATACGGGGTTGGTGAGGAAACCTGTGATGAGGACAAGATCGAAACCCTCCATGATACACGCGCATGATAGGATAATGGCTTGCAGCACGGCGGGCCAGAAGGCGCGCACGCACGTCCAGGTGCTCATCTCCTTCTCGATGGTGGTCGCCTGGCGCGCGAGGGGGACGCGTTCCTCACGCTCTGCGGCGTCCTGGGCGCGCAGGGTCTCGGGCGCGATGGCCGTGCTGTCGGGGCCGAAGATGCTAGTGGTGGGTGGAGATTCGGTGGCTTCATCTTCTTTTTCGTTGTTGGGGCGGCGCGCGAGGCGCCCGGCGGCGTTGGAGAAGGCGCCCATGACGGAGGAGACGGGGAAGTTTGATTCGTGTGGTGTCGAGGGCGCCACGGCTGTCGAATCGAATTAGTGGTGGTGGTGGTGGTGGTGGATGATTCGTAGGCGCGTAATGAATGTTTGTAATGCCTTATACTACTGATTGATTGATATATGGATAATTTCTCGTAGAACTCGGGAAATGTGGAGGAAAGATAAGATGATGTGAGGGGTTTTGCGGAGAGAAAGATGGAGATGGGGATGGAGATGTAGTAATGAGCGGGGGGGAATAAGACGATATTGACAGAATGGGAGGGCCTCTTGTAGGTAGATGTGGGCTTTGCCTACCTGTTTAGGTTACCATGAACCCTCCCAGTATGAGAGTCTGGGACTGGGCTGATATGATGGGAAAGAGCGAGCTGAGTGGATGTATGGAGACCACATGACCTCTAGAGACTGCGCGGATCATATTTTTGACAGCTGGCCCGAGGAGCTAAGAGCATAACTAAAGTAAAAACGGACGAGGAAGGAGCTATGGGGAAGCGGTTTGTCTGTGGGGTGTTCCTTCCTCCTATTACCTTCCTCCTATCACCTGGGTCCAGTTAGTCGCCTCATGTTGCCAAGTTGCCAGCTGTATATCAAAAAGAAGAACAGTAGACTTCCCTAATCCTCATCTCCAGGATAGGAAAAATATCCAAAGAATCCAAAGAATTCACATCCCATCGCCGGTCGTCACGAACGATTATGACAGCCGACAGACGACATGGCGCGGCGGCAGGCGCGAACCTTAACCCTAGCGCCGACCAATAGCCACCCCGCTGTCACTTCCTCGTCCGTCATAGTACAACATCATAAAAGCATCGGCTGCAGCGGCATGTGACACATTCGTACGGTCTCCCCGCAGGGTGGACCGTGGCTTAGAAGTAGTAATTATTTTTTCTCTCTCCAACCTAGCTTCTCCGAATAAGCTTCTCCGAATAACAATAGTAGTAGTAGTAATAGTAATAGTAATAGTAGCAGCAGTAGTAGCAGCAGCGTGAGTACCAGCCCATCCACCACCCCATCCACCCAACCAAACTCCGCGCTTCCCCCGCAAACGCACTGAAATCAATACCCAAACAACAAGTTTTTACACCCCTCCCCTCCTCAGCAAACCTACCTCCTCAAACTCCCCACCCGTCCAAGGGCATACCACCTCCTAGTCCTCGTACTGGCCGTATCCCTAATATCCCTCCCACCCATCCCCGTCTCCAGGATCCCCGTCCCCTCACTCCCATCCGTCGTCAGCGTCCCCGACGTCGGACTCGCAGCCACATGTCCCGTGCTCAGCCTCCGCTCCCAATGCACCCTGCTGCTCGGGCCGCGGGACTCCATACTATGCGACGTGGACGGCCTCTGGGCGTCAGCTGTAGCGCGTCCGCGCGGGTAGCGAGAGATGGGTGGTGGGGTGGCAGAGGTGTCGCGGATGTCTTCTACGACTGTGATGCGTTTGGGAGCGGAGATGTTGTTGGTGGTGATAGGGGGCTGTTCGCTATTCCCGCGCATAAAGGCCGGTGGTGGCATCTGCGAGACAGCCGCTGACACCGAGCGGCCTAGACCGAGCATCTTAAACAAGCCGCGCTTTTGTGGATCCTCTATAGTCTTCTGCGGTGGCGCCTTGGGCCCATGGGGCGGCGGCTCTGGCGCATCTGCTTCCGCGCGCGCGGCTTGGAGGCGACGGAGGCGTTTCTCGTTGCCTGCTGGGGAGGTGGCGGTAGCGAGGGAGGAGCGGCGCTCGGGCGGGGCCGGGCGGTATGAGGTTTCGATTTGGGCGGCGAGGGAGGCGTGGGGGTCTTTGGTGTAGCCGCTTGCGGAGCGCTCGTAGCGGTAGATGGTGGGTGTTATGTCGTTGTTGGCGGGAGCTTCGAGGGGCTTGCGCGAGCGGATGGGGATGTCGTCGTCGCGGCGGTTGAACATCACGTCGCGGCCCCAGTCTTTCTTGTAGTCCTCGCCGAAGGAGAACATCTCTGGTGCGCGGAATGTGGCAGGTCGAAGGTTCTCTCGTGCTGCAGAGATCCAGGGGTCCATGGTGCTCGTTGCCTCGCTGGCGATATCAGAGTTCGTCTCTGTGACCTCGCTCTGCGTCGCTGTGTCCCAGCCATGGCCGTCGCGGCGGCTCGTGATGGTCTCGGCGGCGCTGCGTGGGCGGCGGAGTCGGGCTAGGTCATACTCGGGGCTGGTTTGGGCACGGCTCAGGTAAGGCCTGTTATCATCGTGTTCCTGCGTACTAGACACGAAGCTAGTGGCGTCGGCGTTGAGGGTATCAGTTGAATTTGAGTTCTTGTACTGTTGCAGCGAGTTGGTGCTGAACGTGTCTGGCGTGGGAGGCAGGGCGCGTTGCTCGAACGGCTGCAAGTCCGTTCTCCGAATGTTGTCCTGCTTCGCAGGCACAGACCTTGGCGGATCATCGAGTTTGTGATCGGACGTGCTTTGGATGAGGCGAGCTGCGATGGCCGGCCCATTCCGACTCTCAAGCGTGCGCTGGAGCTTCTCGAGTCTCTGGAGCGGCGACTTCAGGACATCATTCATTGAGAGGAATTGTCCTACAGCGACAACACCCGGAACCCGTCCAGACTCTTTTCGTTCCATCATGTTTGCATTTTTCAGGCCGTCTCCGACCCATTGGTCCACGGACCTGGCGTTCATAAAGCGGTTTGGCTCGGGCGAATCCAAGTTCTCATATTCCAAGTCCAGGCTGTCCAGGTCCTTGCCATTGCTCTTCGCTCCATACACACTTATAAATGAGCTCTCGCTCAGGACGCTTAGACGGGGGCTGTTCATTCCATCGAGTTCAGACGTCATGTCGTCCCCCTTTGCGCCATGATCTTCAGATAGCCTGGGCAAGCTTTGGTCGCGAGGTATGTAAAGGCTGCGCAGTGCCTCCGTCTCCTCAGTCTGCTCGGAAAGGAACGAGGGCATTCTCGCGAGCGACCTCGAATGCGATTCCTGGCTTCGGTGTCCCACGGGGGTGATGTCGTTGTTGGCGCGATACCGGGGGTCGTCTGGAGGCGAGCTGGCCACGATCTGGCCATTTGTTCCGCTGCTTGTTCCACCGTTGACGCTGTCGTCACGGTCACTCAGGTAGAGGCTCGTTGCTGCTTGGAGGGACCTGACTGCATTCCGTTCCTCCATGAGTTTGTCGACCTTCTCTTCAAGCTCGATTATGACATTGACGGCCTGCTCAATGGCTACGTCCCGCTTAGCTAGCTCAGAAACCAATTGCTCGTTCATCCCTTGTAGCTCATGCTGTTGCTTAACCTGCTGTTCTAAATCTTCTAGGCGCTCTTCGAGTTTCGATTGCTGCTCCTTTCGGTGGTGTAATTTGAGTTTGAGATCAAAGTTCTCATTTAGTAAAGCGGAAACTCTCTGAATAGCAAAGCACGTTAGTATCATATCCGCCACGAGTTAGTTATAGGATCTGCCTCACATCTTCGGTAGCCTTGACGCCCAATTTCTGCTTCCCACTCGCACGATCAGCTCTCCGATCCGCAGACCCTGGCGCCTCCAATTCCTGTTCACGTCGCCGTGGGCCCGCCGGCGAACTCTGCGATCCGAGCTGCATATCCTGATACGCAGCGGCATCTCTGCTCTTTCTGCGCTCATGCAGCCGCGCTGCCTTCATCTCGCGGAGCTTCTCCTGTAGCAAGTCTCCGCCCTGTCCCTGTCCCTCTCTTCCACCTTGCTCCGCGGCGTCATGCATCTTGCCTCGATCGCTCCGTATGTTTTGGATTCGGTGGTGGGGGAGGTTCGAAGAGGAGATGTTGGAGCTTCCTGCTGTGCCGCGGGATTGGAGGGAGGTGCTGGACCCGGGTGGTCTTGTTCGCTCTGGTGTGGGATGGCGGTCGATCCCGCGCGTGTCCATGGCGTCTACTTTATGTTATGTTTGGTGGTGGGGCTTGGTATGATGATGCGGTGCTCCCGGGCTATCCTGTATGTGCCCAAGCAGGCAAGTGTTGTCCTTTCGCGTGCAGTATAATGCTAGAGCTGGAGTTATTGTTGTTGTTGGAGAGAGCGTTGGAAACTGTCGTGTGGCGTTGAAGTAGCCAGCCTGTTTGCGCGCCGTTGCAGGTTGAGATTGGCGAAGAGGTATAGGCTGAGAAAACTGCACGTCTGGTTGTTTAAAGCACGAGGGTGGTTTTTTTTGTTTCTTTTCAGCTCCCTGGGTCACAGTCGCCCTCCTTACATTGCGGATGTTTATGCTGGCGATGGAGCACTGTGGAGGCAAGTTGACTCAAGGAGAGTAGAAAGTGAGACAGCGAGTTCCCGAATGCGTAGAGGTGAGACGAGACTGGGAAACTGGGTAGTGGATTAGAAGGAAGGAGCTTTTTTTCTTGAGCGTCGTTGGACGAGAAGACGGGATGCACGACAGGTGGTATGCAGGTGAGGGAGGGAGGACTGGGTCAAGAAGGAGAGAGGACGTCAGCTGGATGTGCCAGCGCCCTTTACTGGATTCTGCTTTCTCTGTGGCTGACCATTGAGCCCATCTGAGCCCATCTGACCATCTGAGCCCATCTGAGTCCATGGGCCATGGGGGGGAAAAAAAACACAGGATCTCATTGAGCTGCCGGGGGAATTGATCCACTACTCTGCCCAGCTTGGACTGCCAGCCCCATATACATATTACCGGGGGGGAGACGACGCGGTCACTTTTACGGAGTACATTGGGCAATTTGGCAGGGAAGACAAACCGTCTTTGTCTTTTTGTCCAGGGCCGTGGTTGGACACGGCCCTTGCCGGTGCTCCCCGACGCGCTGCCACGGCCACTAATGCATCCCCATCCCAGCCACCGCGAGCCAGTCCGCTACGCACTGGGAGGGGAGAGAAGGGCATCATAATATCATAATTTCCAACACCACCAACTCTCCCACCAGGTACTACATCATACATACAGTGATTCATTCCTCCGCCTGCCCTGCCCTGCCCTGCCCTGCCGCCTTCCTTCTCGTCCTGTGAGCTCCCCTGCCGCCTTCCTTCTCGTCCTGTGAGCTCCCGTCCCGAACGTGTCTCGGCTGTAACCCAGTGTTGCTCAGACACATGGACGGCGGCACTTGGGAAGAACTGCACTCCAGAAGGGCTGTACTGGGCTGTATTGGCCTGTATTGGCCTGTATTGGCCTGTACTGGGCTGTATTGGAAGCAGGTGATGTGGAGGGGTTAACTATCCTGACTGCTGTTCTAAACACGATAGACACTAGCGATTCCTCGTTGCCTTTTGATAGGATATGGCACGGTGCTTTGCCTTGTTGTTGACAGAGCCGAGAGCTTGTCTTACATACTCTAATGTGGTGTGGAGGGCTACTACGATACTGCCGTCTTATACCCACTTGGCAGTTAGACACGAGACACGGGGAGGGCGAGGCGAAGGCGATATTGATGATAACATCGGCCACTGCCGCATGCAGCATGGAAATGCATAGTCGAGAAAGAAAATGGCTTGGTGAGAGAACACGAAGAGCGACTCGACCTGTAGATAACTATTCTAACCATCCCTCCTGACGTCAACGTGAACCCCGCACGCTCCCACGCTCCCACGCCCTCAACTCCCACGCCCTCAACTCGGCCACGCGTCAACTGCGCCGACCATCGCCTTCTTCATGCCGTGCATGCTATTCCCACAAACGCCATGCCCATCCCAAACGCCACTGCTGAGACATCACCCCGTCATCGTTACCGCGCCGCCTCCTGCACCTTATCCCCCGTATTTGGCGCCTCGTCAATGAACTGCGGCACCTCATCGACCATGAAGCTCGGGGTGGCCTCGCTCTGTCCCAGCCCCTCAAACTCCATGTCATCGCCCAACGCCTCGAGCTCAGCATCCAACTCCGCCTCATCCACATCCTCCGGCACATCATAACTCCGACTAATGCTCTCCTGGATGTCATTCCCAATATCCATCAAATCCGCCATCTCATCCTGCATCCTCTCGATCTTGTCAATATCAATCTTCCCATACTGCTGCTTCAAGCTCTTATTGGTCTGCTTCATCACATCCACCGTCGTCATCACATTCTTGAGGTTATCCGTCATCATCCCCGCCTGCTGCATGTTCCACGACTGCTGCTCCAGCTGCTCGCGCTGGCCCTCGTACATCTTGCGCCGCTGCAGCACCTTGAGCGCCTTCTGCTTGATTGCGTTCTTGCCGGGGCCGTCGCGCATTTTGGATAGCTTGGCTTGGTAGGTCGAGAGCTCGGCGTTGATGCTGGCGAGCTTGACGTCGATGGAGGAGACTCGGCTGTCGACCTGGGTGGGGGGTTTAGTTGCGGTCTGGAGGGGGAGGGGGAGGGGGAGAAGTGCGAACATTGCTGATTGCGCCGTCGAGCGTGGGCTTGGGACCCGTGCTCTTTGAGCCGAAGAGGCGGTTCATTGTGTTGTGCTGTGAGCCGTGGCGGACACTGCGGGGCAGAGTTGAGGGAAGGAATGAGCAAGTGAGTTCAGCGCATCTGCGTATCTGCGGTATGAATAGTCCACCGTAGTTCTCTGTGACTCTTTCGTCATGTCATGCCTTGCTTGTAGTTACTTGCCCTTCCCAATGTCCATTTCAGGTCTAGCGGCCTATTTCGGCCAGATTATCACGTGGCTAGTGGAGTTGATGGCTAAGGCTGGGACATCACGTTGTGTTGGGCAACGAAAGGGCAAAATAAACAGCTTCAACCACCACCGAGAGTACCATTATTTAGCAGCTCTGAGAGCGAGAATCTCCTCTCTAGTCAGTATATTTCCCTGCCCGTGTCTGATCTGCTTCCCAGGGATAAAGGGATAAACGGATAAACGGATAAACGGATAAACGGGGAGTGCTAACGTGAAGGTTCGTTGCTTCTCACAGGCCAGAACCTTGGGACAGGGATTTTGCCCCGGAGAGATTCATCGCAACGACCACCACCTGCGCGTCGTGTTTCCCCCTGTCCACCACGCTGCCTTCACGACCGCACAAACCCTCTCGTGCCCGCGCTCGAAAGCATCTTATCCCCCCCCCTCTCTCACGACGACCATTTTCCGACTTTGTACTTATACTTTGTTTCTTGATGCCAATTACGATACCCAGTGCTGGTCTCCGCGCTCTGTAATTTCAGCTCGACCCCAGAGATAGCGTGACCGTTACCAGAAAAGTTTATTTCTGCACGACGACATCTTTCTCAAGAGTATATATTTTCTTATAGAATGTAAGCTGAACCGAGGCCCTATCCCAGTCCCAGACGCGGTAGAGTCACCTTGCTCTCACCGCCGGGGAGCAGCCAACGAACGAGTTGTTTCTGTTGAACCTTCGCCCGACAGCGCTGACAATGAGACCTTGTGCAGTCTTCTCGACGGCATCTTCTGCCCTTTCACCTGTGATACCCGTACGAGCGTGAACGACGGCGGACCCCCATACGACCCTCTCCGAGCAAACGACTACCCGTATGAACAATTACCCGGCGCATCTAGTTTGCAACAACGGACCCGGACACCAGCATTCGGATCCCCGCCAGCTGCGGCACGAAGAAGGACCCCCCTAGATCAAGATGTTCTGGCGATTTGGCGGATACGCCAACATCTCCGCCATCGACACCCTGCTCGAGAAGCCCGATGTGACGCTCGAGGAGCTGCTGGAGGAGAGCGACCTGATCCAGGAGCTCAAGTCGCACAACACCAAGCTCATCGAGTACCTACGCGAAGACGCGATTCTGCAGCGCCTTCTTGAATACGTTGTCGCGCCGAAGCTGGAGACTATCGCATCCGACGAATATGATATTGACGAAGACAACAATGACGACAAGGGCAAGGAGGCCGAGGAGCGGTCTCACTTGCTGACGCGGATGAGCTCCGAGGACGAGGAGGATGACAGGGAGAAGAAGCGAAACCGATACGCGTTCGTGGCGGCCGAGATCCTGGCGTCCGATTCGTGGTCGCTGTCAGCCGCGCTTTTGGAGAATGAAGCGTTCCTACGCAAGTTCTGGGAGTTCCTGGCTTGCCCGCCGCCGCTTGATCCTCTGCAGGCTGGTTACTTTACGAAAGTTAATGAGGCTTTACTTGATAAAAAGACCGAGGAGATGTTGGAGCTGTTTAAGTCTATTCCCGACGTTGTGGAGAACATGCTTCAGCATGTTGATTCCCCGATGGTTATGGATTTACTGCTCAAGATCATCTCGTTAGAGAAGGCCGAGGGCGGACAAGGAATTGTAGACTGGCTGCATTCGCAAGACCTAATGCCGACTCTACTGTCATTTTTGTCGTCTGAGCATTCATGGGCCACCCAAACATCAGCCGGAGACTTCCTTAAGGCCATTATTACTATTTCCGCTAACGCGTCCCAGAATGAGCAGTCCTGTATTGGACCTAATGAGCTCACTCGCCAGCTGGTCTCGCAACCCTGCGTCGAGAAGCTGATCACCGATATGCTCAAGGGCGGCAACCCGTTGACGGTTGGCGTTGGCATCGTGATTGAAGTTATTAGGAAGAACAACTCTGATTATGACCCCGAAGTTGGCACAGAGTGGCAGATGGCTCCGTCGAGCCGCGATCCTATTTACCTCGGAACGTTGCTACGCATGTTCGCCAAGCACGTTCCTGATTTCATGGCTCTTATCCTCAGCCCTGACCACACAATTGGCAGCAATGACGGCCCTGTTACTATTAAGAGGAAGGAACTTAACGCTGCATTCGGCGGCAAGGTCGAGCCTCTCGGATTTGATAGATTCAAGACTTGTGAGCTTATGGCGGAGCTGCTGCACTGTAGTAATATGGGTCTGCTCAACGAGCGCGGCAGCGAGGAGCTCGTTAGGGCTCGTGACGCCGAGCGCGAGAGACTAAGGGCAGAGGGAAAGCTAGCGTCCCCAGGGGACCGCTTCAACCTCGAGAGCGACGACCTGACTATGAGGTCCTCAGACACCAGCCGTCTTGGATCCCACTCACCTGACGAAGGACGCAGACTCGGGGTGCAGAATGCCTCCGACGATGACGGTTTTGAAGAAGTGACACACGCGCAAGACCTCGGCGACGACGCGAAAGACGACTTTGATGAGAAGTTGGACACGGAGGATGAGCTGCTCGCCAATATTAAGACGGAGAACCTCCCCTCGTTCTTGGATAAGGATGATGACGAATTTGTCGACGAGCCGTTGAGTTCTCCAAGGCTGAACACTGAGGTGGAGGCCCTTCAACCGGCTGCTGTGGACACCTCGCTTACTGTCGCGCCACTTTCGCCAACAAAGGATTTGTCTGAGAAGGTTAAGGACCTGGATGTGAGCGAGGAACCAAAGGATGCGGATGCCAAACCGCCATCTTATGATGATCACTCGAAGGATGCTCCTGTTTATCCAGATGAGCAGGGCAAGGAAGCTCTAGATGCGGCTATTAGCAACCAGGTTGAACAAGAGGCAGCTGCTAATGCCGAGGAAGCCGTTAAGACCGAGGGACCTGTAGAGGCAACCTTTGAGGTTTCTGTTCGTTTGGAAACCACCGAGGATGTTCAGACACCTCACCCCGACGATCGCCCAGCGCCTCTGTTTTCCCAGAAGAAGACTGGAACTCCCGAAGCGGAAGCCCCTATCGCGGAAGCTCCCGAAGCTGAGGCTCCTGTTGTGGAGGGAGAACCCCAATCCACCGTTCAAGAAATTGCTTCCCAGGTCCCTATTCCGGAAGATGTTGCGGTAGCAGCTGAATTCAGCGGTACTGAGGTCGAGGATTCTACTATGGTTGATGTCGACGGCACTATCCGGTTAGATAATGCCGATGGTACAAACCCTATCGAGATCGAAGATGACTTCTCGTCGTCTGTGGTTGGAGACTATCTCAAGATGCAATTTGTTGAGCACAGGGTTGTGCCAACGATTTTGGTACGCACTCACATGTTCTAGAAGGACTAAGCTAACCAATGCAATAATAGGATTTCTTCTTCAGGTTCCCATGGAATAACTTCCTGCACAATGTCGTCTACGATGTTGTACAGCAAGTCTTCAACGGACCCATGGACCGTGGATATAACCGCAACCTTGCTGTTGATCTCTTCGAGACTGGCGATATTACGAACAGAATCGTCGGAGGGCAGAACATGAGCGATGAAGCTCAACAATTAGATCGCATGCGCTTGGGCTACATGGGCCACCTAACACTCATCGCAGAGGAGGTAGTGAAGTTCACCGAGCGACACCCACCGGAGCTTCTGTCGGAGTTGGTTCTTGACAAGGTCCTCAACCTCGACTGGAACCACTACGTCGAGGTGACCCTCGCCGAAACAAGAGAGCGCGACAACGCGATCCTAGGTGGCGTCCGACCAGACCAGAACCTCGGGCCCCGCCAAGCAGTAATGAACGCCGTCAACGCAGCCAGCGGCGGTGGCTCATCCGCCCTCGCCGACGCGGGCCTAAACGGCAACTCGACACTTGACGGAATGGACCTCTCCAACGGCAGCGGCACATCCGGTAGCGGCTTCGGCCTCGGTGGCGGATCCCTGCTTAGCGGCTTCGGCAGCTCGAGCGACGAAGAGGACGAGGACATGGACGAGGACATGAACGACGATGACGGGATGCGAGGCGCGAATGTCGGCGGAGCTGAAGTGGGTGTTTTCAATTCTGAGATTCTTTCCCTGCGTCGACCCCATGACGATGATGATCTCGATTTGGAGTTGATGAATCACGAGCCGCCGCTCGCGTACGGACCTCTGTTTCCGGAGGACTGAGGCGACGCGGTGTTTTGTTTGATTCTCTGTATAACTTCTTTTTTGCTGGTTGAGCGATGGATGCGCCTGATAGAATGTCAGGCGCCCGCGTGGTTTATGTTTGTCAGTCGCCGTGGTTTTTCGTAGATTCAAAGTGTTTCTACGTCAAGATTCTCCTTTTTCATTCTGAGTGCTCTATTCAAGTGTGTGATTCATGTTCCGATTTTCTTTTCATACCTTCCATTTCTCCAGTCATCATAATCATCTATCTCGTCAGACGGCCCCAGACGCCTTTCCATATCATACCTCACCTCAAATTTAAAAAACCATTTACTTACAACCACCTCGCAGTTTTCCCGCTACATCTCCAACCCCTCAACCACAACCGCAACCTCCGAAACTACCGCGCCCTCCGACATTGACCCCCCCGCCTTCGCCCCTCCCCCCCCACCACCCCTCAACATCACCCCCTCCCGCGCCCGCCGCCAACTCGCCGCCCGCCTCGCTCTCCACCATAAAGCGCAGGAGACGAGCAACGGTGACGACGCTACAGACAAGGACCCCGACGCTATCGAGGCGGCCGCGAACCCGAACCCGTTTGCTGACACGGACTCGGATGATGAGCTGACTATTGAGGCTGTTTCTGGTTTGGCGGAGGTGTCGGCGTGGGATATGGAGGGTGATGAGGGGGGGAAGGTGGTTGCGGAGGAGGGGTTTGAGGATAACTTCGGTGGTGGGGTTGATGCCGTGCGTGCGCTGCAGGTGCCTGCTGATTCCGGTAAGGTTGTCGGCGCGGAGGAAGTCGGTAATGGCGAGCCAGCTGCTGAGGAACAAGAGATGGACTCAGCGTCGCGATCATCGAATTTCTCGGGACTGTGGCCGTTTAACCACGCGAGTCGCGGGCACAGAAGGCGCAGTGTAGGAGAGAGATATGGCCGCAAGGAAGAGGGGAATGATTTCTTCGGCGGCAGCGATAGTGATAGCGATGAGGGCTTTGATGGGATTGGGGAGCGGGAGGCGAGTGGGGATTTTGATGGAAAGGGGAAGAGGCCGAGCGGGACGACGGAGGCGAGGAGGAGGACGAGCTTGGATGATGAGGAGGTTGTTGAGGTGGGGAGGGGGGAGGGAGGGGGAAAGGAGGGGGAGGATAAGCTGGCGTGACTGCGTTGGTGGGGATGGGGTTGATGGGGGGGGGTTGTGATGTGTATTATATGTCATGTTGTGTTAGATGTATGCTATCTGGATGTACAAATAGTTGTGATTTTTAGTTGCAGTTTCTATTGGTTTTTACGCTTTAGACTTGGTGTATTCGTTGGTTCGTCGCCTTCTTAAACCGAGGTTGTGTATTCCGAACATGCCATGAAAATTATGGTTGTTACGAGCTCAGATCGAAAAGGCCGAGCAAAGCAGCTTCAGTCTGGTAATCGGGAATGGGCAACAGCGATTGAATGTGTGAGTGCAGACGGCTTTGTAGTGCCTGCATACTTGATTGTACAAGGCAAGCATCACCTTGCGCCTTGGTACACAGAGTGCGGCCTTCCACCTACTTGGGCCATCAAGACCTCACCAAATGGCTGGACCGACAATGATACAGGTCTAGACTGGATAAAACACTTTAATCAGCATACACGTGTACGAACACAAAGGGTCTGGCAGATGATTGTCCTAGATGGCCATGATAGCCACCTATCTGCCCAGTTTGATATGTACTGCAAAGAGAACAACATTATTACGCTCTGTCTCCCTGCGCACTCCTCACATCTTACCCAGCCTCTTGATGTTGGGTGTTTTAGTGTACTAAAGCGAATGTATGGTCAAGAACTTGAGGTCTTCATTAAGGCCTCTATTACCCATATCACTAAGATTGAGTTCTTTATCGCATTCAAGGCTGCCCACGACCATACAATGACAACTGAAAATATCCTAGCTGGCTTTCGAGGTACTGGCCTAGTCCCGTACAACCCAGAAGCAGTTCTCTCAATGCTTGATATCAAGTTACGGACGCCAACACCAACTGGATCCCCCCTACTAGAGGCTGACCCTTGGGTCCCTCAAACGCCACAAACCCCAGCTGATGCAATTTTGCAGTCACAGTTTGTACAGAATAGAATTGGAATTCATCAAGGAAGCTCCCCAACAATGATTTTTTCAGCTGTAAAGCAGCTGGTGAAGGGTACAGACCGCATTGCGCACCAAATGACCCTTATACAAGAGGAGGTCCGTACCCTTCGAAAGGCCAACACAGCACTTTCAAAGCATCAGAAAGCCAAGCGTACACGTGTCCAAGATGGAGGGTCACTTACTATAGAAGATGCTCAAAAACTGATCGCTGAAAAAGAGGATAAAGGGTTGAAACGACAGAAAAGGTCAAATGAGGAGGGTGCTGTAGAGGCTGGTCCATCGACTTCGCGGCGCTGTGGGAGGTGCGGCATGACTGGGCATAATGTACAAACCTGTCAAGAGGTTGAAGAGATATTAGGAGAAGAGAGTTCAATTGAGTGTAGTTAATGTTAATGTGTTAGGGTGGAGTAATTGGGTTTGAGGTTGCGATGCTATCGGAAAGTGTTTCATTTGGTGGGATGTTCCGTTTGGTGGTAAACCACGTTATGCTTTTAGCCAATATTTACGTTATCTTGACATCTTTTTCTGTACGGAAGCTTTTTACATACAAAACACAATACATCCAATATCGTGAGATCCTCCTTGAATATCGACTTATGCTAATCTTTTGAATCTTATAGAATGCCTTCAAGAAAGCTCAATTCGATGACGATTGAACAGCGTCGTGCTCTTCAACAATGGACTGTCAACAAAACACCTCGACCTTCCCAAAAAGATTGTATCACCTGGTTTTTTGAGAAGTACAACATTCGAATTAGTCAATCTACAGTCTCAGAATCCCTTAGCAGCCGATTTATCAACCTTGATGATCCGATTAATACACCAACAATAGGGAAGAGGAACGATACGATATACGTCACAGGAAGTGGCTTGGCCAGATATTGAGGCTATTCTTTTTGAGTGGCAAGAACGAATCGATTCAAAAGGAGGTTTTACAACTGCAGAGATCTTACAAGAGAAGGCAAAGCGAATTTGGTCACAACTACCACAATATCAAGGGAAGCCTTCGCCAGAGTTTAGCATTGCTTGGATACAGAAATTTCGACTACGTCACAACATCCAGAATAGAAAGAGGCAAGGAGAAGGGGCATCAGTCAGCGAGACAGCATGGACGAGACGGGTTTATACTGGAAGATGATGCCATCTTGTGGGCTTTCTACAATGGAGGCTCGAGTAGGAAGGAAGATGGACAAGGCAAGGATGTCTGTCGTATTCTGTTGTAATGCTGCTGGTACTGATCGATGTCCTCCTTGGTTTATTGGCAAGGCGAAAATGCCTCGAGCTTTACGAAACATTGACGTCATAGCAATGGGAGGGGTTTGGAGGTGGAATAAGAAGGCTTGGATGACTCAGTTTATTATGGCAGAATGGTTAAGGGCTTTTTATGCTCGTATTGGTACAACACGGGAGGTTCTTCTCACCATGGACAACTTTTCAGCACATATCAAGGCCCTCAAATCGACACCACCCCCTGTGAATATCTGAGTTATCTGGCTTCTTCCAAATGCAACAAGTCGATTTCAAGCCCTAGATCAAGGTATCATTGCCTCTGTCAAAGCTCATTACCGTCGACAATGGCTCCTTTACATCCTTGACACTTTTGAAAGGAATGAAGATCCTGTCCAAACGATGAATATACGACTTGCTATTCGATGGCTTCTTCGATCCTGGAATCACGACCTTACAAACTCGACAATCTATAACTGTTTTCGAAAGAGTATGATTGTTCAAGCCAGTTCAACTACCGTCACAACCTCTTCCTGATATTACCAATCTCTATCAACAAGTACAACAAGCTGGGAATGTACACGATGCTATGGATCTTTCGAGCTTTTTAAATCCAGTCGATGAGGATATACAAGAGTTAGAGGGGTGGGAGGATTTTCAGGGGGGGATGCTATTCTTGAGGATATCATGTCACAATACATCCCAGATACCACTCAAGATGATGAGGAAGAGGGTGAGCCTTCTTCACAGCCTGTGCCAACTACACAAGCTGCGATTAACACCATTCAAGTTCTGATTGAGTTTACGGAATCTGGGAATAGTGACACCTCAGAAGCACCAACGTTCTTACGTTCTTTTTGTAATGGTGGGTGCATCAGATGTGAGAATCTAGCCACACAAGGAAGGGATGAATTTACTAAGACAACACACTGTCTTAGGAAACAGAGCCAAAGGGTTGTAGCTTAGACTATTCCACAATGCAGCAATCAGGTGTGTGATGTAGTGAAGTGGTTCAGACAAGTTGCAACAAATGTTGAGTCTGGGAACTCAGGGGTAAGATAAGTCAGAGGTTAGCACCTCACTGACTTTTCAGAAACAAGGAGTAACAAGATGAATGCTTGGAAGCTTGGAAAAGACGTGGAAGAATGTGATAGTCGATTTACTGTATTGTCTGCTTGCCCTTTCTTAAGGAAAGGGCAATCCTATTTATGCTAAAGGAGTGTAGTTCTCTCATTTTCCAAGACTTTCCATGACTTACCAGGCTTGGTAACTGTAGTCGACGTAAGAGAATCCCATAGAACCATCTCTTAGGTTCGTAGCCTATAGGAAGTAAAAGGAGGTCCAAGGTCAGAGTACCCCTATAGACAAATTATGTCATAGACAAATTATGTCATAGACAAATTATGTCATAGACAAATTATGTCATAACTTAACCAATCTTGTGGGTAACTAAAGAGCAATGACATGTAATGAATCATAAGAGGTTCGTAGGAGCTTTTAGAGCTATCGTTCATGCTCCTAGGCCTCTAGTTGGTAGAGATATGTCATGTGGTAGTATGAGTGATGTCATGTAATGAATCATAGAGGGTTGTAGAGATATGCTATGTGGTAATATCGGCCCAGTAACTAAGGAGCGATGACGTGTAATGAATCATAGATGGTTGTAGCAATCGTTGAGTAGTATTGCTCTTGCTGTTGGTGTGATAAGCCAAAATATGTATAGTGACTTGTAGGTTTGAGGAGGAGATTTCCAAGTTTGCTCTTGAGTTTGATAGCAAACTGAGTGCAACAAATGTCACTATGACACTTTTGAACGTTTTGAGAGACAGTTAAGGCTCCTTAAAGCCAATTCACAAAGGCAGGGGACATTAGACTCATGGTTTATGTAAATAGCTTCAAATTTTAATTTAATCACATGTAATACATTTACTCAATATATGCATTAAGTCAATATATTTTTGTGGATCCGAGGCATTGACTTATCATATTTTTACTGTATAGTATTCTTTACAATACTGTAATGTGTTACTTGGAAAGCCTTTGTGTCTAATCCCCTGCCTCCTCTGTCAAGTCAACCTTACACAAAAAATATCTGTGTCTTCTATCATT